ACCGGGACAACCGACGGGAGGGGAGTGACCTGAGACACACCAGACGGAGCAGGACAGGGAGGGAGGGGAGCAGGGGCGACCGGGGGAGTGGGAACCAGAAACAAGGGGGGGGGGAAACCGGGAGACCTCGGTGAGGAAAGCGGTGGAAAAAGGAGACAGACTCGTCGAAAGTGACGTCACGGGAGTGAAGGAAGCGGTGAGACAGCAGGTGGTAGAAGTGCCAGTCAGACGAGTCAAGGGGGAAACCGAGGAAGACACAGGGGACGGTGCGGGTAGTGAGCTTGTCCGCGCCGGAGGCACAAACGTGAGCAAGGCAGCCCCAGACCTGGAACGCAGACGCGTCACCAGGGAACCCGGTCCAAAGGAGGGTCGGCGAAACCTGTGGCCGCTGAGAGCGAGGCCAGAGGTTAAGCTGGTGAGCGGCGTAGCGAACGGCAAACGACCACAGAAAATGGGGTGCACCGGCATGGATCATGGAGGTAGGAGCCACCTCCATGACCAAACCGATGCGTCGCTCAGCGACCCCATTCTGCTGTGGGGAGTCTGGTAGGGTGTACGTCTGGGTGATACCCTCCGCACGACAGAACTGACCCAGCCGACTAGAGGTGAACTCGCCACCACGGTCGGAGTGGAGACACAGCACAAGGAGACCACGGTGGGCGCACGCGGCTACGAGCCACGGGATAAGAATGTCAGGCACGTCGGCCTTCCGCTCCAGGGGAAACACCGTGGTGTAGCGCGTGAAGTCGTCAACGAGCACAAGAAAGTAGCGCTCGCGACGCGGCCCAGGGACAGGGGCTGGGCCCCAGACGTCTAGGTGCCGAGTCTGAAGGGGTGCAGTGGCAGGGCGAAGTGAGGAGGAGTGAGGAGCACGACGCAGCCGGCCCTCGACGCAGGGCATGCACGGTGGCGCAAGTGAGGGAGGGAGAGCAGGGAGCGACGCAGGGAGGCCGAGGACTAGACCGTGCTGAGACATGTGACGCAGGCGGGAGAGCGCGAGGTGACCTAGACAGTGGTGCCACAACCGGGACGTGTGAGTGAGCGACCGACACGAGCAGGCCGCAGCTACCTGGGTGGACGCAGGACCGAAGGAGGACTCGCCTGCCGGGTGGGGAGCAGTGTCCAGCGTAAACAGGCCAGACACTGGGTCCCTGGGGAACGTCGCTTTGTTCAGCGCGGCCGAGTGAGTAAAGCTCTGATTACCAAGTGTTACATGATGGAATGACTCGAGGAAAGATTGCACTATCGATCAGTACAAGGCACTTTTATACTTCTAGAGTACATCAGGTAACCAGGTTTATCTTATCCCAAGGGAATAGACCCTTCTAGAAGATAGAATCACCCTGCGTATAGCCACGCGAGGCTATTGGTTTTAAGGGATTACGGCAGGATTACGCTAGATAGCGCACCAGTACATCCCAAGCCTGGTCGGTGATATAATTACAATAGCAGGATAAACCAAAGGTTAATGGAAAATAGGAAACCAAATGAGATGAGATAAAAAGAGAAATGAAAGAAGAAGGGAATAAGAAAAGGGACAAGTGGTGTAACGGGGTCGTACTCTCACAGTAGTGTAGTTGCGAGCAACTACAGGACCAGAGGAGGGGTCTGCAAGGGCGACAGCGGCAGGCGCAGCAAGCAGCGTGAGGGCGGCGTGGTCGCGGAAGAAACAGGCTGACGCAGCAGAGTCTAGAGTGAAGGACAGCGACGCCGTAGTGGCCGACGACGGAGGAGCAAGGGTAGAGCCTAGGCTAGACAAAGCAAGCTGTCCTATGCCTGACGCAGCAGGGGAGTGTAGACTACACACAGGTGCTACGCCAAAGCTAGAGAACACAGAGTAATACGATCCGGAAACACTCGAAGCGTTAGCATACAGAGAATGCAAGGCAGAACTAATCTAATCCATATCTAAGTCAAACACAGGCACACCGTGGCGCAGCTGGCTGGGCCCGTCAGGGAGGTCCGGGGCGGGACCAAAGCGGCGACGGTAGATGGCGTGCGGGCGGCGGCGGCGTCACAGGCGTCGCGCGGCCGGCTGCGGACCGACGGCGCCGTCACAGAGCGGCGTCGATGCCGCAGCGGGACGTCGACGCTGCGATGGCAGCACGACAGCGCTGTCACGCCGCCACGGCAGGACGTCGACGGCGCCGCCACGGCAGGACGTCGACGCCACAACGGCGTGACGCCACGGCAGCGCGTTGGGACAGCCACAGCACCACGTCGACGGCGCCATCACAGCTGCGTGCTGCGACGGCCGCACCAAGAAGCCGCCGCGGCATCTCGGAGACGCTGCCACGGCGGCACGAAAATGGAAGGCCGCGACGGCGGCGAACGAAGAACGGGTACGCGGCGGAAGCGTGGCTAGCACGGCGCGATGGGGCCAGCGTGGATTGACGGGGCCAGCACTGCGCGACGGGGCCAGCGCGGCATGACGGGGCCAGCGCGGCAAGACAGGGCCAGCGCGGCATGACGGTGCGGGGAGTACGCTGCGGAAGCGTGAGGAGAAGGCCCGAGCGAAAGTGGCCTGCTCTGAAACCATGTTAAGACTAGAAAGAATGATTAGAAAAGGGAGTACAGGGGAGATATAGCATTTGGGTTGTACCCACTAAGAACATACCCTATCTAGCCAATAACTTCTACATAACAATATATGTATAAGTTGATACCACCCGCTTCTGCCCCTCGCCCTAGCCTACCGCCCCATCGTACCCTAGCCTTACCGCGCCCCGCCGGCCCCTAGCGCCCCACCGGCCCCTCGCGCACTCCGCCGGCCCCTCCACGCCGCTCCGGCCCCTCGCGTACCCGCCGCCCCCTAGCGCGCCTTGCCGGCCCCTCGCGCCCCCGCCTGCCCCTCGCGCCCCCGCCTGCCCCTCGCGCACTCCGCCGGCCCCTCGCGTGCCTGCCATCCCCAGCGCGTGCTCGCTTGCCCCCCCCGCACGCCTTGCCGGTCCTTCGCACCTCGCCGTCCCCTAGCGTGCTCGCCGGCCCCTCGCGTACCCCGCCGGCTCCTCGCGCACCTCGCTGGCCCCCCCTTCCGTGCCCGCCGGCTCTTCGTGCCTTGCCGGCCCCTCACGCCTCGCCGGCCCTTAGCGCCTAGCTGGCCCTTAGAGCCTTGCCGACCCTTCGCGCCATGCCGGCCATAGACGACCCGCCGGCCCCTCGAGCGTGTCCACTGGCCCTAGCGCCCCACCTGGCCCCAGCACCTCGCCGGCCCTTAGAGCCCTGCCGGCTCTGCGCGCCTCAGGCCCTGTGCACCTCGGGCCATGCACGCCTCAGGCCCTGCTCGACCCTCTGCCCGGTCTTCCCCCCCGGAGAGTTCTGCCGCCACGCCGCTGTGTCGCCGTACCGCTGAGTACCTGTGCCACTGTGCCGCAGTATCCCTGTATCGCTGTGTCACCGTGCCACTGTGACGCCGTGACGCTGTGCCGCCTTGGAGCTGTAATGCTGAGGTTGCACGATGGCAGAAGCCGTACTTCGCCAGGACGCGGAGGGGCACGCGATCGACTTCGCCGCCTGGCTTGTCGAACTTCGCCGTCACCTGACAGGTCAGCGCCAGGATGGGCACTCCCTAGCTATGCATGTTGACGGCTTGCTTCCCTGCCCCCCCATGTCTGTTCCCCTCCCTGCTGACCCCACCACTGCTAAGAGTGAGACCTTTTCTGCTGTTGCGCTCGCTCGCGCTGTCCAGGATTCTCGCGATGCTGTAGCGCAGCTCGCCATTAGTCATGCGCTTACCCTGTCTGAGCATCCGTGCTTCACTGCTGTCGCGAATGCAAGGTGTCACAGGATCGAATGTCTCGAGGAAAGATTGCACTATCGATTGGTACAAGGTGCTTCTATACTTCTAGAGTACATCAGGTAACCAGGTTTATCCTATCCTAGGGAATAAACCCTTCTAGAATATAGAATCACCCTGCCTATAGCCACGCGAGGCTATTGGCTTTAAGGGATTACGGCGGGATTACGCTAGATATAGCGCGCCAGTACATCCCGAGCCTGGTTGGTGATAAAATTATAATAACAGAATAAACCAAAGGATAATGGAAAAAGGAGAATAGGAAACCAAAGGAAATGGGAAAAAAATAGGAATGAAATAGGAAGGAAATAAGGAAAGAGACCAGTGGTGTAACGGGGTCGTACTCTCACACTTCCCCCCCTCAAAGCTGGGTGGTAGAAGTAACACCCTGCTTGACAAGGTAGTCATGCAGAGGACGACGGGCGTTACCCATGTCGGTCTCAGGGACCCAGCTGTCCTCAGAAGGATCATAACCCTTCCAATGAATAAGAAGCTCCAAGGTGCCATTCCGACGACGGCGGTGTGCAAGCACGGACTCGACCTCGTACTCGGGTTCATTCTGGACGAGGACGGGCGGTGGCGGCGGCAGTTAGCGTCCGACAAAGATCGCGTATGGATCCCGATAGGGCTTCAGAAGTTGGACATGGGAGGCGTTGTGAATCTTCCAGGTAGCTGGCAAGCGTAAGCGAAAGGTAACAGGAGTGACCTGTGCTTCAACGAGGAAAGGCCCGCAGAAGCGAGGTCGAAATTTAGATGGGAGATGGCTAATCTCAAGGTTGCGGGTGTCGAGGAGCACCTGGTCTCCCACGGTAATGGTGTGATTGTTGCGATGGCGATCAGCTTGGCGCTTCTGTTGCTGCTGAATGTCAAGGAGGCGCTTGTGGGTCCGATCCCAAAGCCGATGCATGGTTGTGATGAAATCGTGTGCAGGTTGGACTGTAGCTGAGGCTGTCGGTTATTGTGGTGTGAGTGGGTGGCGTCCGTAGCAGAGGAAGAACGGCGTCTGTCCAGTAGCGGCATGTGTAGCGTTGTTGTAAGCAAACTCTAGTACGGGCAGGTGCAAGTCCCATTTGGAGATCTGGCAGGCTGCTCGGAGGAGTTGCTCGACAATCTGGTTGAGGCGCTCTGTCTGTCCGTCTGTCTGCGGATGGTAAGCGGATGACATGGCGAGTTTGGTCCCGAGTAGAGACATTAGTTCCTTCCAGAACTTGCTGGTGAACTTGGGGTCTCAGTCGGAGATGAGCGTGGTTGGAATGCCATGCTGTGAGATGGTGTAGCGAACGAAGAGTTGTGGTGTTTCTTCGGTGCGTGCTGTCGTGTGTGTCGGGATGAAGTGTCTCATTTTGGAGAATTTGTCGATGACGACAAGGATCGCATCACAACCGTTAATGGTAGGTGGTAACCCGGTGATGAAGTCCAGGCTAACCACTTGCCATGGTTGTTCTGGGACAGGAAGAGGTTGTAGTAGTCGCGCCTTCTTTTGCTTGCTGCTCTTCATTCGTTGACATGTATCACATGAGGTGACGAATTCCTGATCATCTTCTGCCAAGTGGGGCCAGTAGTAGTGCTTCGCGATACCGGTCAGCGTCTTGTTGCTACCGAAGTGTCCGGCGTATAGGGCATCGTGGTATTCTTCGAGTAGTAACTGGCGCAAAGGAGGGTAATTGGGTACCCAGATTTTTGTTGATCTTTTCCGGTACGCGATGTCATTGTTCCACTGCAGCAGATGTTGCTTTTCTGCCAAGGGAATTTCGGGGTCGATGGTGTACCCATATGTGAAGAGTCACTTGAGTAGTGGATTCATCCCCTCAACCTAGATAGCGGCAACGTGTGCAGGCCAGCTAAGGGCGTCTGCTTTGTTTTTGTGGCCAGGCTTGTACACGATGTCGTAGTGGAAGTGTGTCTCGAGGAAGTCGATCCACCGGACCTGTCACGTGGAAAGGTTGGGTTGTGTCTTCAAGTATTTCAGGCTGCAGTGGTCGGTGTAGACGGTTGTTCTTCGTCCTTCAAGATAACATCTCCATGTTTTGAAGGCAATGATGATAGCAAGGGCCTCGTTGTCGTGTATTGGGTAGTTTAGTTTTGCCCCGTGTAGTTTCTTGCTGAGGTAGGCGATTGGTTGCAGTCCACTCCCCTAGTCTTGCATCAAGACTGCTCCCACTGCCTGGTCGCTAGCGTCAGCTTCGATGACGTAGTCGCGTTCGGGATCTGGCAAGATGAGTACTGGTGCGGACGTTAGTGCTTGTTTCAGCTGCTCCCTGGCTTCCTAGTGCTTCGGCTCCCATTTATAGGGCGTGTTCTTCTTCAGCAGATTCGTGAGTGGGCCTGCGAGTTTCGCGTACTGTGACACGAACCTGTTGTAATAATTAGCGAAGCCTAGGAACTGCTGCAACTCCTTCACGTTCTTGGGTGTCTTCCACGTACGTACGGCTTCGATTTTCTTGGGGTCGACGTGAACTCCTTGAGTGCTCACCATGTGTCATAGGAATTGGACTTTCTCAAGGGCGAATTCGCTCTTGGACAATTTGATGTAGAACTGTTCCCGCCGAAGAATTTCGAAGGCGCGCCGCAGGTGTTCGACGTGCTGCTTCATGTCGCGCGAGTAGATGAGGATGTCGACCAGGTACACCACCACGCACTCGTCCAAAAGTGGGCGTAGAATGTGGCTCATTTCGGCTTGGAATGTTGCCGGTGCGTTGGTGAGTCCGAACGGCATTACCAGATACTCGTACGATCCATACCGAGTCGGAAAGCAGTTTTGTGGATGGAGTTGTCCGCCATGCGTATCTGGCAGTATCCGGACCGCATATCCAGTTTAGAAAATACTGTAGCTCCTCGAAGCTGGTCAAGCAGGTCATCGATTCGTGGTATCGGATATTTATTCTTGATGGTCTGCTTGTTGAGAGCTCGGTAATCGATGCACATGCGCAGACTTCCGTCCGAATTCGGTGTGAAGAGTACTGGGGCACCGTATGGCGAAGTGGATGGCCGGATGAGCCCTTTGGCTAGGAGATACTCGATCTGTTTTTTCATGTCGGTCAGCTCAGTGGGGCTGAGCGGATATGGTGCTCGGAAGGTCGGCTTCGAACCTGGTTCCTCCACGATCTCGTATTGATGCGTTCGGTATGGCGGTAGCTCGTTCGGTAGATCGTCAGGAAGAATGTCCTGAACTCTTTCAGTAATTCCTTGATATTTCTCGGAGGTTCCGAGGTTTTCTCCCCGTCATTTTCCACCTCTGTTGCTATCACCAGGAACCCAGTGTCGGTTCGCTTCACATCCTTCTCGAGTCGTGCGAGTGTCTCCAATGGGATATCTCCTGCATCGTCCCAGTTGGGTAGCTGTACTCTCCGTCCATTGTTGTAGATGCTTGCGGTGCGGTTCACCCAGTTGATCTCGGGGTTGAATCTTTTGAGGAAGTCTCTCCCGAAGATCAGGTCAAGCCCTTTTATGTTGGTGATGGGGAGTGCAGGTCTCCAGCGCAGTGGTCCAATTTGTAGGTGTAACACTGCTTCGCCGTGCACTGGTAACTTGCTTCCGTCCACCATCGTTGCAGAGAATATTGAAGGCTTGTACTCTTCCTGAAGTCGGTCGGTTAGTGCCTTGTCGCAGACGGTGTGCGATGCTCCGCTGTCCACGAGTGCTTGGAGGCGTCGTCCTTTGCAGATGACCTCGAGCACGAGGGGCGGGCGTTGCTCGGAGTACCCAAAGATAGTTTCATTCATTGGGTCATAGGGTACATCCCAATATTCCGTACATACCTTTTTGTTGCTATCTACTCCTGAGCCGGCAGATGGCCGAGGCTGCTTGGAGGACGGCTCTTCAACAGGGCCCGGAGTTTCCTTGACGACTGTGCGCGTCATTGATGCTGAAGTTGCTGAACTGGATGCATCCGGAGGAGGAGTTCGGGGTTTCTGGAGCTTTTTGTAGACCCCCAGCTTCCTCTTGAGCTGCTTCAGCTCCACCGACGTCTTCCCTGGGGAATGGGTAGTCGTTGTGGGCTGGTGTCGGGAGAGGACGTTGACTCCGTGGAAAGGTCGGCTTCTTTCCACACTCCTTAATTTTTTCCCCAAGTTGTCCGGTACCGGTATGATCTCCACAGTTTTCTGCTTCTTCTGGAGTCCTTCCCGAATTTTCTCCAAGGCTCTAGCCCCTCGAGAATCATAAGTTTTCATTTAAGCATCTTTATAGGATAGCTTTAACGAATCCTGATAATTTCTTTGGCCTTCAAAGAGTTTCCCCGTCTCGGCAGTCTTTTTTCGCGGAGTCGGATTTTTTCTCGGCGATTTTCCCTGGCGAAGACTGGTCGTGGGGTGGAGATTTTCCCCCATCATTTCCTCCTGCTCGCGTCGAATCAGCTTCGTTGAAGTTGATTTTCCCAGGATCCCGTTGCCGCTTTCGGATCTTTTCTTTTTCGCCAGCTAGATCCGCAATCACTGGTGACTCCCATTTTTTGTCTTCTGAGTGGCCGAAGGGATTCCGCCACTGTTGCGTGCCCGATACTCTGCCCGTGCAGCTTTCATTTTGTTGCAGTCGAAGATTCGATGGCCCGGCACCCCGCAAAAATCACACGTGTAGTTGGTGTTTTTCAGACGTGGCCGCCCATCGAACCTGTCGATTTCCATCGGGTCGGCGAACGTGGTGGGAGCCGAGCGGTCGCCCTGTCGCGTACTGTTGATGTGCGTCCGTCGTGTCCCGGCGTTGACCATGTCGAAGCGCTCCGATGCCGAAACGACGTCACTGTAGTTCGCGTAATTTGACGCTGCTACCTGTCGTTTGACTTAGGTCTTCAGCCCGGCGAGATAAGACTGTACTTTTTCCCCTTCGGTCAGGTCGGGAATATGGTTATAAAATTCTTCCATTTGCTGCGTGTACTGTGCTACACTCCCGAATTGTCGATGTCAATGAATGTTTTCCCGGGCAAGGAAACCTGAATTTATTGGCTCGAAGCGTTTCAGCAGGTCGGTGCGGAACTGCTGCCACGTGGCTTCAATGTGGGTAAAGGTGCTGTTGCCGCCGATCCACTCGAGTGCCGGTCCTCGCATCAGCGTTGCCGAGAGTCGTACGCATTGTCCGTCCTAGACTGGTGAGCTCCATCCGACGGCTGCGAAGTAGATCTCCATCCTGGCGATCCATCTGCGTGCGTCGGAGTTTCGATCGCTCGGATCAAACGGCTCAGGTGGGAGCGGTTTCGGAGCCTCGAGAAACTGCTGCGAGTGCTGCACCGTCGCCGTTGCCGAGTCGTGTTTCGCTCCGGCGAGTCGAGTTACTCGCTCGAACTCGTTTTGGCACGCTATGCGATCCGCTCGCAACTCCTCCTGAAGGGCTGCAATGCTCGAGAAGAGCTGCTGGGTAACCTCGGCGTTGTCGAAAATCGCCATCCTATTCAAAACACGCGCCGGGGGGGGGGGAGGTAATTCATAAAACGCAGAGCTGGTGCTTACCAGATTCGGCGTCGAATTCGTCGCCCCCGGCGGTTTTTCGAGGCAGGTTTCCCGCTGCTGCTGCTTTGTTGAGCGCGGCCGAGTGAGAAAGCTCTGATTACCAATTGTCACAGGGTGCTTTTATACTTCCAGAGTACATCAGGAAACTAGGTTTATCCTATCCAAGGGAATAGACCCTTCTAGAATATAGAATCACCCTGCGTACAGCCACGTGAGGCTGTTGGCTTTAACGGATTATGGTAGGATTACGCTAGGTATAGCGCGCCAGTACATCCCGAGCCTGGTTGGTGATATAACTATAATACCATAATAAACCAAAGGATAATGGAAAATGGAGAATAAGAAACCAAATGAGATGGGATAAAATGAGGAATGAAATAGAAAGGAAATAAGGAAAGAGCCAAGTGGTGTAACAGGGTCGTACTCTCACAAGGAGCCTCTGGAGGTGGTGGCTGCGGTGGCGGCCCTCGCAGCTCGTCGTCTACCAACGGCTTTGGTGCTGTGAGCTGCCAGTACCAGCTCCAGACAGGGCCCCTCCGTGGCATTGTGTGCCGCCGCCCGCAGCCGACCGCCCGCTGCTTCTGTTGCCTCGACGACCTCTTCCGTCGCCACTTCGGCCCGGCCCCGGACCTCCCTGACTGGCCTAGTCTGCTGCACCACGGTGTGCCTATTTTTGACCTAGACATGGATCAGATTTGTTCTGCCCTGCATTCTCTATATGCTGACGCTTCTAGTGTGCCCGTATCTTATTACCCTATGTTCTCTAGCTTAGGCGTAACACCTGTGTGTAGTACAGACTCCCCTGCTGCGTCAGGTGTAGGACCGTTTGCTTTGTCTAGCCTAGGCTCCAGACTCGCTCCTCCTTCGTCTGTCGCTAATGCTTCGCTGTCCTTCACAATTGACTACGGTGCGTCTACCTGCTTCTTCCGCGACCACGCCACACTCACGCCGCTAGCCGTGCCTGCCCTTGTTGCACTTGCTGACCCCTCTTCTGGTCCTATTGTTGCTCGTAGCTACACTACCCTTCCCTGTCCAGCGGTTCCCTCGGGTTCCCTTACAGGCCTGCACATCCCTTCGTTCTCCAGGAACTTAGTTGGTGTCAGCTGTCTTTAGGACCTCGGCGTCACCACTACATTCCTTGGTCACGAGCGGTACGCTGTCTGTACCGAGGCCGCCTCAGGTTTCCTCCTTGCGACATTCCCCCGGGACCCGATGTCTGGCCTCTTTACGCAGAAAATTGCTTACCCCGGTAGGAGCGTCCTCCCTGGGCCCTGCATCTACCCTGGTCGCCGTGGCTTGCTTGTGTCGGTCACTCACTCACCCGTCGCTTCCGTGGCACTACCGCCTAGGTCACCCCGCACTCCCGCGTCTGCGTCACATGTCCCAGCACGGTCTCGTCCTAGGTCTCCTTGCGTCACATCCTGCCCTCCCTCCCTTGCTTGTGCCGCTGTACACGCCCTGCGTCGAGGGCCGGTTGCGCCGTACTCCTCACTCCTCCTCGCTTCGCCCTGCCACCGCACCACTTTAGACCTTGCACTTGGATGTCTGGGGCCCAGCCCCCGTTCTTGGACCTCGTCGCGAGCGCTACTTTCTCGTGCTCGTCGACGACTACACGCGCTACACCAAGGTGTTTCCTCTGGAGCGGAAGGCCGACGTGCCTGACGTTCTTATCCCGTGGGTCATAGCTGCGCGCCTCCACCGCGGACTCCCTGTGGCCTCCCTGTACTGAGCTCCACTCCGACCGTGGCGGCGAGTTTGCCTCTGGTCGGGTTGGACAATACTGTCGTGCGGAGGGCATCACACGGTCGTACACCCTACCGGACTCCCCGCAGCAGAATGGGGTCGCTGAGCGACACATCGGTTTGGTCATGGAGGTGGCTCGTACCTCAATGATCCATGCCGGTGCACCCCATTTTCTATGGCCATTCGCAGTTCGCTACGCCGCTCACCAGCTTAACCTCTGGCCGCACTCTCAGCGGCCGCATGTTTTGCCGACCCTTCTTTGGACCGGGTTACACGTCTGGGTCTGCCTTGCTCACGTTCGTGCCTCTGGCGCAGACCAGCTCACTGCCCGCACTGTCCTCTGTGTCTTCCTCGGTTTCCCCCTTGACTCGTCTGACTGGCACTTTTACCACCCGCCGTCTCACCGCTTCTTTCACTCACGTGACGCCACTCTCGACGAGTCTATCTCCTTTTACAACCGCTTTCCCCACCGAGGTCTCCCGATTTCCCCTCCCCTGTTTATGGTTCCCACTCCTTCGGTAGCCCCTGCTCACCTCCCTCCCCGTCCTGCTCCATCTGGTGTGTCTCATGTCATTCCCCTTCCGTCGGTTGTCCCAATCGAGGAGTCGGCTGACTCTGGTGGCCCCGCGGCGCAGTTCTTGCCGCCTGCCTCTCCCCCGGTGTCTCCTCCTCCACCGTCGCAGGAGCCGCCGCCACAGCAGCAGCCGCAGCAGCTGCCGCCGTCGCAGCAGCAGCAGTCGTCAGTGGACTCTGGGGGTGCTGGCGTTGTGGAGGGTTTTAGTCCTGGGGTTCCTGTCATGGCTTGTCCCGGCGTGCCTGGGGGTTGCACTGGTGCTGGAGAGGGTTCTCGCTCTGGGGGTGCTCGTTCTAGGGGTGCCGAAGTGGAGTGTTCCGGAGGTAGCCATGATGCAGCTGACGGTCCTGGAGCCGGTGTGGAGCAGCAGCAGCAGCAGTCGCCGCCTGTGTCCGCCCTTTGCTTGCTCGGCCTTCCCTCCTCTGGCCGCTCGCCTGCTCCTCCCCCAACCCCTCCTCCTCTTTCTGTCTACGGCCCTGTGTTCCCTCCGTCGGACTCGTCTTCGGCTCATCTTCCCCCTCATTCCCCTGTTGTGTCTCCTTCTCTGTCCCCTCACCAGACGCCTCCGTCTCACTTCTGGTCTTGCCGTCCCTCTCGTGCTTGTCCTATCTCTCCTGTTTCACGTTCTCACCCTTATTGCTTCTTTCCCACGCGTCTCGTCCACCCCTCCTCCCGTCTCCTCCTCCGTCGTCCCTTTTTGTCGTGCCTCCCCCTCTGTCTGACTACCTTCGTGCCGCTTGTCCTCTTGTTCCTCGTGTCCTTGCCTCCCTCGTTACCAACCCGTCTGTTCT